GAATTATAGAAATCTCTTCACTGAATCTACAACTCTCTCTCTCTCTTCTAGTTTGGCTGTTTCCAATCTGGGACATGAGTGCTGACAAGAAGCTGTTTTTCCAAAAAGTAAACTGTGTTTTCCTCAAAATATTTTATATTTATATTTTATATTGTTATTTATTTTATATTGTTAGCTTTATATTGCTATTTTTGTATTATATTTTATGTTGTGAGCCGCCCCGAGGCTTCGGCAAATGGGGCGGCATAGAAATGTTTAAATAAATAAATAAATGAATGAAGCATTAAAACGGTGATGCTGGTGCTGATTGGTGGTGGTATTTTCTGTTTCTGTACGAACTATGGTAGACACCCCCCCCCCTTGCTGTCCTTACTGTCTTGCCCTCCCTCACCAATGCGCAGCTTGAGTAAATGGCCAAAACTGACCCACTGGCCACTTTGTGCAGAGTAACACCGATTACCCTGCTTGCCAATGACCCCAAAAGCCCATGGCTTTCTACAGATGCAAATACAGTTTCACAGATGCTCTCAATATCTTAGTTTAATACCTGTGAACGATTGCAGAGCCTCTTGCAAAATCATGGTTTTTTTTAGAGAAGGCATCCAATCTTTTTCCCAGCTCAAAATAAACGTCTTGCTTCTGCGAATCCAACTTGCTTCTAACAAAAGAAACAAACAAGGAAACATTCTTAAGGTAACCCAAAATTCTTCATTGGGTTTTGCTGCAAAAGGCGACATGTAGCTTCAAGTAGTCATTGCAATTAAAGGAAAACATTCAGCCATTGCAAAATAAATGAGAAATGCTTATTGTTTCTCAGTAACTGATTGGGCAGAAATAACCAAAGATGGTAGAAGTTACTGGTATGCAAATGAAAGCTGAAAGAGATTTGGCCTGCTACGTGTGTATACCAACATATTCGTTGCAAGGGAAATTTGCTTTTTAAAAAATCACCTTTCTCCATTCAAAGAAATTTTCAGGGAGCTCAAACATCCTTGCCTTCTAGTTGTAAACCCACCACTACTTCCATCTTTTTTATGTAAAGCAAAAAAAAAAAAAATCTAGTAAGAAAAAAAAAGATGGAAGCTCTGCAGAGCACCTTCTAATTTGTAGCACAACTCTTCATCTGGAAACACTCCACACCTTTGACAGTTTTTTCAAGTCTCTCCAGCTCCTTCCGTGTTGTGGGGAAAGGTATAGGCTTGGGATGTGAATTTCAGCTGGTCATGGTGAGCCAACCAAAAAGATGCAGTTTTGGCTCTGGTTGTGCACTGCACTTCCCAAATGCAATTCGAAGTCAGAGCTCTGCCTGATCTACTTCTCAGCTCCAAATGTGGGCTGTAGCTCAGCAGCAGAAAACACGCTTCGCATGCACAAGGCCACAGGGTCAGTTCTTGACATCTCTGGGAAGGATCATGAAAGACTCTTTTAAGAATCTGGGAGATCAGCTGCCAGTCAGCATAGACCAGGGGTGCACAGCACAGGGCTGCAGCTACACTGCCTGAATTTGGCCCAAAAAGTGTTGTAGGTGGGAAAAGTAGCATCCAGAGTGTTGCAGGGCACTACAATGAGCTCACAAACAACTGAATTTTGACTGTTTTGGTGCTCCATAGTGGCTAGGTATATCTTGTCTGAAACGAGAGGGGCTTTTTGGTGCCCACGGGGTGGGGGGGATGCAGTATACAGGATGCCAAGGAGCAAAATGGCCCCTGCCTCTCCCAAAATTGTGTAGCCTATGCTGCACAAGATGGACCTCTAGCCTGACTTGGAGTAAGTCAGTTTCTAAACCTGAAGAGGTGGTCCGGGGTCCTTAGAAGCTTGGTGCAACTGGAGTGCCAGCCTCCTCCGCCAACCTTGGAGCTGAGGAGGTGGCAGGATCATTCCCACAGGTTTGCTGCACCCTGTAGATGTACCAATCAGCACCACAGCACAGCTTGCCCCGGAGCAGCCCCCACCTTCCTCTCCAGCTCCAGGGGGAAAAGAAAGCTGGGCCTTGCCACACTTGCCGGAGGCTGGCCGGAGCTGCACCAGGGCACGCGCAAGTGAGGACCTCTGCATGGGGCCCCCTGCTTCACGAGGCTCACACTAGTAAAGCAGTGAAAGAGAAGCACACGAACAACCGTCACACAGTCCCAGAAGGCCCTTCATGATCTTGCGTAAGGATGCAGCCGCAGAAATGACCTACCTGCTCAAAGTTTCCCCAATATCCTAGTGGAAGGGAAGAAAGGGGAAGTTTCACTGACTCAGAATCACATTCCAGTTCCGTTATAATGCCATCGCCCGCTTGCATGCCTGTGCACATTTGCAAGAGTGTGACTCCCCTTTTTGACCACCTCTCACCAAATTGCGGGAAGTTGGTTGTGCCACAAGGAGAGCGATCTCATGGCTGCTCGCCCAGATCTGCACATCCGTAACATTCCTTGGATCCTCAGCTGCAAGGTTAGGAAATCTCTCTGCCTGTTCCTGGAATCAGAGCTCTGAGCCCCCTGCCCTTTCCTGGAGAGCAGCACAGAAGGAACCACGCAGCTGCTTCTCCAAGGCTGCAAAAGTGACCCTGAAGAAGGGCTCTTTGGGGCCCTTCAGGAGGAGAGGAGACCAGCACCAGCAAGATTCAACTTATCCCCGTGGCACCTCGGCCTCCTCCTCTCCCATTCTGAAGCCCTCTACTCAGAGAGCTCACATAAGCCACTCGAGTGGTGTACGTGAAAAAGGTGTGGGGATGATCTTCACCGCCACGCTCCTCCCGGCATGCGCATTTTGGAGGACACCCGTGATCCTCCAAGTTCAGGGAGATGTGGGCATTCCAAATGGGTTGCACCTTACATCACTCAGTACTTTGAACTTTCAATTTCTAAATTCCTGACAATACACAAAATACCAACAAAATGAGTGATTCCCTGTAGAGGATGTCCAAAACGCCATTCCAGTTCTTCTCTGGCCCTTGCCTGGAGGTACAAGAGACATGGTCCAAACTCTGCACTTGGGCTGCAGGTGGCTCATGTTATGTTGTTATGTGCCGTAGAGTTGTCTCTGACTTATGGCAACCCGATGAATGAAAGCCCTTTGAAATGTTCCATCCTTGAATGCCCAGCTCAGTTTTTGTGAACTCAAGGCTATGGCTTGATTCAGGCCATAGCTGGACTTCCTCTTCTTCTGCCTTTGACTTTTGCTAGCATTATTGTCTTCTCTGGTGAATCTTCCTTTCTCGTGATGCTGCTTGGGCACTTCTGGGGTGGCCAGCACTGGCAGTTGTGTGACCACCACTTGGCAAGAGCAGCAAGGAAATTTTGCCACTCTTGCTAAACAGCTCACTCACCACTGGGGTTGACCCACAATGATTTGTATTGTCCGGGTTCAGATGGCACAACCATCTATTGTGCATAAGCCATGGGTTGTCAAGGTGGCTCACAGGACAAACTTAAGCCACCCTTTCAACTCATGTGGGGTAAGCCCAGTCTGTTTCTCTCCAAACAATACAGTCTCCCTTGCTTATTTCAAAAGTTATAGTCTCTATTTCCAGAGTTTGTTATTTTCTACTGCTTAGATGGAAAAAACTAGAATACAAGTGCTAGGCTGGCCTCGGCCACAATAAATGGCCATTCTCTCCACCCTCAAGGTGTTTGGGATGTCAGAGGCAATTGTTCTTGGCACGCGTTTCAAGGCGAGGGAGGCTTGGACTCTCCCAAGGGAGAGGATCGGCCCTGGGAAACAGCCTCCAGATCTCGAGATGGAAGAGCTGGGAAGGATCATCTAAGGCTGCCCTATCCAGTGATCAGGCAGACTCTGAGAATAGCTGGGATCTGCAAGTTCTGGGAGGAGGTGTGGGACAGGGACTCCAGCAGTCAGACAAACCTATTATGATCCTCAAACCCATGAAGCTTTGTCAAGAGAGAAGGGCTGGCCAGCTAGAGGACCAGTGTACGGCTAAGAGGCTGTCCCGTCTCCAGATGGCCCCCCCTACAGGGGAGGGGTCAGGGTTCCCCAGAAGGAGGGTTCTCAGGAGTAGCTTCTAGTTTGGGTTCAACAGACCACTGTGTGCATGCTCAGAGACTCTTTCTGTGCTGGCTATAGTTTGCTGGATGTACATTGGAAAATAAAGAGCTTTTGGCAAAGAATGGTCTGTTGTTTTGAAAGGGTGAATGGGGAAACCTGACTCCGGACACTACGGCCCTGGATGCATTCTTGATTTTGGTTTTTACACAGTGAAGAGAGCAATCCTATTGTAAGCCGCCCCGAGGCTTCGGCGAATGGGGCGGCATAAAAATGTTTTAATTAATAAATAAATAAATAAATAAATAAATAAATAAATAAATAAAATATTGCTGTGGCAGGGCAGGAATCCCCGGTGGGGCATCTGCCACTACCAGACCCTCCCAGCTTGCTGTGGCCCGGATGTGAGATCCGGAGTGGGCTTCCTCTTTCTCTTGCCTCATCGACACCAATGGGCCAGAATTAACAACCGCAGTGCCAAGCTGGGTGGGGACCGTCAAGGGAGCAGGTTTGGGGGTCCTCTGGATCTAGGCCCACTGCCTCTAGCGCATTTCCTTTTGGCTCCTCCTGCATACTGGGGGGGGGGGTTCCCAGGGGCATGCGTGCTTTCTGTTCAGTGAGTCTCCTCTCTCCTGCATGAAGGACACTTGTGACACCCTCCTCCCCACTGTTTAGAAGCTGCAACTTGTGCAAAATGAGGCGACTGGGGCCAGAATGACCAAGCACATCATGCCAATTCTGCCCAGTCGCACTGGCTGCCTATATGCCTCCCGGCACATTTCAAGGTACCAGTTTTAATTTGTGAAGCCCTAACATGGCTGGGGACCACACACCCGATGGCTGCCACACCTCTCCTTGCTGCCATCTACCCAGGTGCTGCAATCAAAATCTGGGAAATGCCTAAACCGCCTCGTCCAAAGGCTTTCTGTGCCAGGCTAAGAGCGTCCTCTGTAAGGGCATTTAGTCAACCTTAAAAGGCATAATGAGGCATCATGTCAGCTGTCTAACAGGTATTAACTTGTTTTTGTGCCATTTATTGTGAATCTTATTAAATACACACACACATTAGTTTTTATTGAAAGGTTTCTGAATATGAAGGTTTGATTAGTACAGTGAAAAATTGTACAGCCAATGGGGCTGGGAAAGGGTGTCCAGCAGAGTTTGCTGTTCCAACTATGCTTCAAGTCAGCTTTGATGTCATGCTCTCACTTTTTTAAAAGTTGCAAAAATATATTAAGTATAGCTTTCGGGTAACAGAAAGAATCATTATCACATTTGCATTTCATGTTGTCAGGAATGTATTTTGATCCATTGTTGTTCTGCAGATATATCCTGATATAACAGCTCAAAGGAAGGATGGATTTTCTCTGACTTGAAAACGACAGAAGAATAACCCCACAGAACATTCCCCTTAGCAGCATCAAAAAACAACACCCTGTTTTTTCCAATATCCAGATAAACCCCAACTGTGGCATGTTGGTCATGTGCTGGTGTGCCACCATCATATTTAAATGCACCGCTGTCATTTCTTATAGCCCATACGCCCCCTTTGTCATGGCTTCCCTTCCTTTTAATGGATTCCCTGGCCACCCTCACTTTCCACTTTCCCTTATTTCCAATCCTCACCTCCCAGTAAAACCTCCCAGAGGTGAATCCTTCACAGCCCAGCACACAGTACGGAGACTTAAGCCACTGTGAAGAGTCAACTACATCACACCTTTTTCCTGTAAAGTTCACTTTTTTCCGGTGATCAGTTACTAAAAGTAGAGGATGAGCAGTGTCTGGATCCAGGGTCACTTTGACTGTAGCAGAGACAGAAATAGCAGAGAAAACGTTTCAGCTGCATCCAGGTGCACTTGATTTTCATTTAGAGTTATGAGGTTCTTGCTCCTGACTGAGCAAGCCGGAGAAGTTGGGCTGGAAGGCTCTGTGAAAGTCTTGAGCCCACATGGGGCTGCTGCGAAAAGGTGAACTCCATGTTAGGTATAAGGTATAATAGGAAAAGACTTGACCGTGAAGTTACCAAGATCATGCTGCCCTTATCCAAATCTATGGTGCAACCACACTTAGAACACCACGAAGATGTCTCGGCACCACATTTCAAAAAAGATATTGTAGAGTTGGAAAATGTGCACAGAAGGGCAACTCAGATAATCAAGAGGTTGCAGCTACCTGCCTATGAAAAAAGGTTGCGGTTCCCGGGACCATTTAGGTTAGAGCAAAGTGAGACATGATAAAACTTTTCATAGTGTGGAGAACGTGAAAGGGGAGGCTGTTTCTCCCATAATACTAGAACCCAAAGGGTCATCCTGTAAGGCTGATAGGTGGAATGTTCTGGGCAAAAGGAAGGCCTTCTTCATACAGCACATAATTCAACTATGGAATTCACTGCCAGATAATGTAGTGACAACCAGCACTCTGGATACATTCAGGGAGGAGAAGGCTTTTAAAGGCTGCTAGTCCTGATGGCAATATGCTACCTCTACTATCAGGGGAAGTACAGCGGTGCTGACTAGTCAGGAGGGCGCTGCTGTGCTTAGGACCTTCTTGGTTTCCCAGGGGAAGCGGTTGTCAGGATCTGGGCAGCTCCAGGGCTCCATCTGCTGGTCAAGCATCAGAGGAATCAAATCCTGCTCATTGCAGGATTGGTCCAGACCCCAGTGCAGCACTCAGGCCCTTGATGAGCACCAGCTGCCAGCCCTGGGGAAGAGCCGTTCCTTCCAAAAACTGCCCTAGAAACACAGGTCTTCCGAGTGTTGCAGTGTCTCCCAGTGCCTACATCCTGCCTGACCTGATCCTGATCCAGAAAAAGATCCAGTCCTACGTTGCTTCCTTGCCTTGTTTGCCATACCTTACTGTTCCTGAATCCCACCTGGCTATCCTGCTCCAAGGCACATGCACCTTGCCCTGTTGCTTTACAGGTTATTGATCTTTGGCCTGTTCTGCCTAGGTCCTTGCCTTAGAATTGCAGAATCGCAGAACAGCAGAGTTGGAAGGGGCACGAAGGCCACTGGGTCCAACCCCTGCTGCTGCGGGTCACCAGTTTACACCATCCTACTCAGATGATGGCCCTGCTCTGCTAGGTACTCCTGGTTCCTAACCTTGGCCTGTTACGTGACTACAACCCTGTTCTCACCACTGGACTGTGTTTGGACTTTGTGTTGTCTTGGGTCCCGATGCACCTACTTGGATACCTGCCACCCACAGCCCGGTCCCTGAAAGCTGCCTGGCCCTTGTGTGAACAGAGCGGTGGGCTACACGGACCCTTGGTCTGATCCAGCACTGCTCTTCCCAATCTGTCCCACCTCCAGCATCCCACGCATATGACTGCCCTGGTCCTGCCCCAGTGCCAGAAGAGCAATCCTGTCCTCGATCAGCTGGGCTGTGGGGAAAGGAGGAAGCAGCTCTGTGGGCTGCATGGTCATCCACATGCCCATCCAGGAATCTTGACCAAGGAAGGGTAAAGGCAATAATAGCGTCTCTCCCAATTCCCAAAGCAATGTCATTTCACCTTCTGCAAACAGCTCTTATTTACTGTCCAACTAGGTATAATCAAAACCATCTCTAGGAAAAGCACAAACAAAGCTGAGCTGTTTCCCATACTCTGCCCTGGTTCAGATGGAACAAAGCAAGAAAAGCCACTTCGGTCCTTCCAGACCAGCACCTTGTTCACTCACCGACGAACCCGCTGCCTGCAGGGTCCCTCCTGCAGGGTGGGCACAAGGCCTCTCCCTGCCCAGTTCCTCCACAACGAGCGCGTTCAGGCAAATCACCTCTGATCTAGCGCACGGTGACACATTAGCAGCAAGGCTAGTAGCCAGTGTATTCGTCCAAAGCCCTTTTAAAGTCAGCCAGATTGGCAGCCGCTTCCTCACCACTTCCTGGGACAGTGAAGTCCATAGTTTAACTATACATTGTGTGAAGAAGTCCTTCCTTTTATCTGTCCTGAATCTCCCACTAATCAGCTGCATGGGATGACCCTGGGTTCTAGGGTTATATCTCCCTCTTCATCTCATCCACACCATGCATAATTTTTAGCCCCTGTCTGTCATGTCTCCCCTTACCATTTTTCTAAGTTATATGATCCCAGCTGTTGGAACTGCTCCTCATAAGGAAGCCCTTCATAATTTTAGTTGCTTCTCTGCACATTTTCCAACTCAATGTCGTTTTGCAGGTCAGACAACCAAAGCAATATTCTAAGTGCAGTCGCAACCAAAATTTGAATGAGTGGGGTACAATCTGAGCAGTTTTACTCCATTCCTAATGATGCCTAAGCATGGAGTTTGTTTTTTTCACAGCAGCTGCACATTGGGCTCGTCCACCCCGCTCCCCAGTGCCAAGATCCCTGCCTTGCCCAGCCACTGCTAGCTCAGATCCCATCCGCCAATAGCTGCACTGGGGAATTTTTTGCCCCAGTATACATTACAGTATACATTGAACTGCATTTGCATACTGATGCCCGTTCTCTGGAGAGATCACTCTGACATAATGCTAAACCCTGGTTTGCTACTATAAGAACAAGCCTATGTACTTGCTTTTCCGGTGCAGCCACAAGGAGAAGTTGAGAAGTTTGAACTTCTGCTCTTAAACAACTGTAGTTCAGCATTCCTCCCTAGTTCTAAATCACTGGCACCATTAAGACTGGGCTAACAGGCACAGGTGCAGGGCTACCTGCAGCCTCAAGGGCCCTAAACAACACTGCTAGTGGGCATGGAGAGCTTTCACCTTTCCTTCTTTTTAGCAACTGGCATGCTGTAGAGCGCAATTCTAGTCACACCCACCCTTTTCTTGGGTTAATGAAGATGCAGGCAGAACTGGAACTCCATTCTGCAGCTTGCCCAGTGATTTTTTTGAACAGAACAGAACTGTTGGTCTCTCCAATATCAGCAGCAGCCTGCCTGTGTCCTACTAAAGTTGGACCGGTCTGCACACTGCCACTTGAAAGGCATTGTGCAAGTACCCTGACTTTTTCTCCTTAAGGGATTTTAAGGGATTATGACCCAGCAGGGGGAAACTCATGAGGGCTCAGGAAGAATCCTCCCATCACTTTCTGGCTGTTATTTTGAGCCACTGATTTTAAAATAATTCTTTCTCGAGAGCTTAGCAGAACATGTAAGAGCGTCGTCTTGTGTATCTCCCAAACCCTGCCCCAGTTTTTCCTGGAGACTTACCCCACTGCACTTCCAACTGTCCCGGCAAAGTTTCCACTGAAAGCAAAAAAGGCAGATAGGAGAAACAGGCATGGGGTGGCGGGAGGTATGCTCAGCAAAAGTCTATTAATTCCACAGGATTCAAAAGCTCAATCCATGAACATGTGAGTGGCCCAAATGGTCCACTTTACATGCCAAAGTTAATGGGTGAACTGGGCTGGCACAGAATTGTGTCTGATGCTTATCTGTACTAAGAACATAGCCCTCGGCTCACATGTCCTGTGCTTTTCCCTGAGAGCGTGGCTACAGAACAGTAGACAGAAATGGTGGTGTGCCATTTGTGTAAACCAGCCAGAAGAACGGAAAAGGGCAGCCAAAATCAACTGAAAGGGGAAGAGCTCTCTCACAGAAGAGAAAACCTCCTTGATAGAGTGGTTTCAAGTCCCTTTCCTGCATCCCTAACATTCAGGAGCAGTGACAATATAGCGTTTCCGCACCTCCTTCGCTCACATTGAGGTGTGAAGACTAAGAAATAACCTGGGAGATAAAACATGGCCTATTGGCTGAATGACGACCATGTCTGGATGTCCCATGAAATCACTCCCACAAATTGTGAACAATACACACTGAAATCGGTCTGGAAGCACATGACCTTGCACTGGCCTCCTCCCCAATATCGGGTCTGAATAAACAAGACATATTTGTTCAATTGGCTCAGTGTCACATTACGGTTTAAGCTCTCTGCTGCAAACATCTGAAGGTTTTAGCACAAAATCATGGACTTTGTGGCCCCCTCCCCCAAAGCCCACCTCTTTCTGCAGATAGAAGTATTTCATGGCTTGTTGACTTGTGGTTTGTACCTGTGAATTCCCACAGAATCTGCTGCAGAATGATATATTTTTAGAGAAGGCATGAAGCTTTTCTTCCAGCATAGAGCAAACATCCTGTTGAGGGAATTCCATCCGGCACCTAAAGAAAATTAAATCAATTTCATTAAGCTATTATACTAGTTCGTCTTCTTTCTTAAATAAGGCCAGTCAAATTATAATCAATAGTTTTTAGAAAATGATATCTCCTACAAGAACACCTGAAAGCTTGCAGGCTCAGTTTGTACTGTATGCCCTAGAAAAATGGGGAACCCCAAGAACACAGCTGTGTAGGTGATATCAGGCAGGGAAGAGATATACTGCCCCAGATTTCTGATAGGTTTTCTCAAGCAATAGAGCTTTATATATCTGAAATTAGCAACATAAAACACGCGAAACTGTTCATCATTTATTCATTCAATTTATCTTTGAGAAATCATGGAGGAGATGGAAACTGCTGGATAACTGGGGAAAGGGTAATGTCATCCCCATCTTCAAGAAAGGAAAAAGAAGCTGAGAACTACAGACCAGTCAGTCTGACATCAATCCCTAGGAAAATACTGGAGTGGGTTATAAAGCAGTCAGTATGCAAACACCTGAAAACAATTCACTGATTACTAGAAGCCAACATGGATTTCTCAAGAACAAACCCTGCCAGACTAAACTGTTTAGTCTTTTGATTGGGTAACCTCCCTGCTGGGCTGGGGGAATGCTGTGGACATTATCTGTCCTGGCTTCAGTAAAGCTTCTGACAAGGTGCCCCCTGTCATTCTGATCAGGAAACTGTACCAGTGCACTGATGACTCCCCATTCTACCTTTCTTTTTCATCTGATGCAGGTGTGGCAGAATCGGGGTCTGGCCCCAGTAACAGATTGGATGAGGGCCAATAGACAGAAACTTAATCCAGACAGACAGAGATACTGCTGGTGGGGGGATCATCTCTTCAGATAGGTGACATCTTGCCAGTCCTGGGGGTTGCACTCCCTGTAAAGGGCAGGGTTTGCAGCTTGGGGAAAATATCACTTCCAAATTCCATGAAGTGTTTGTTCGCTTGTTGCATTTATATACCACCCCAGTAGCCCAGAGGGCTCTCTGGGTGGTTTGCTGGGCGGTTTAGTTCCCCTTTGCTCAGCACCAGTTAGGCCTCATCTGCACTACCGTGTCCAATTTGGGGCACCACAGTGTAAGAAAGATGCAGCCACACCGGAAAGGGTTTGGAGGAAGGCAACAGGGGGTGACCCAGGACTGGAAACAAAGCCCTCCGAGGAGAGATTGAAAGACTGGGATGTTAACAGGGACTGGCGGATATGCACATATAACGCCAGTCCTTTACCATCTGCACTGGCTATCAGTTGAAGTCTGGGCTCAATTTAAGGTGTTGGTGATGACCTAAAAGCCCTAAACAGCTTAGGACCTGGATATCTGAAGGAGCATCTCCTTTCCTATGTGCCTGCCCACCCCTTAATGGAGGACCTTCTTCAGGAGCCCTCTTGGAAGGAGATTAGGAGAGTGGCTACCGGAGAAGGGCCTTCTCTGCAGTGGCGCCTCGGCTGTGGAGCATGCTCCCGAGAGGTGCACCTGGCACTGGCACTTGATTCTTTTGGGTGCCAGGCCAAACCCTTTTTATTTTCCCAGCATTTTAAGGTTTTAATTGCCGTTTTAATTGGAGTTTTTAATGTACAAAAATGATGCTGTGCTTTACTTTGTTTTACTGTAAGACTGTCCTGAGACTATTTGGTAAGAGGATGACATAGAAACATTTTAAATAAATGAATGACTAAATAAGATATGGTAGCACTCTGCAAGTACTTGAAAGGTTGTTACAGAGAGGAAGGACAGGATCCCTTCTTGGTCACCCAGAGTGCAGGACACAGAATAATGGCCTCAAGCCACATTCCAGCTAAATATCAAGAAAAAAATCCTGATTAGTAGAGCAATGACACTGGAAGCAATGGCCTAGGGAGGCTGTGGGCTCTCCCACATGGGAGGCATGCAAGGTGCACCTGGACAGCCATTGCAGAGGAAGGGTTTAACCTGGGGTCCTGCACTGAGCAGGGGGTTGCGCCAATGGCCTTCTGCCCCCTTCCAACTCCACTATTCTATGATTCTATTCTAAAGGCCAGAGAGGGCTGGGAAGACAATACCTTTCAGGAACACAAGCAGAGACAGGAGAAGTTATAGGCAGTCTGTGTCCACATTACATGGAGTGGAAGAATTTGGGATATTTGCTTGAGAGATAAGGTAAAGTAGAAAGAGGAAGCTCTGGCCTCTACTGTTGAAAATGCCAAACTGCCAAACATTTGTAGGGCAAGTCCTTCTTTCTTCAGCTCCAAACGCGGAGAAGCCCCATAGCTCATTGCTGTAAAATACACTTGGCCTACTGATGATCCCCGGTTCAATCTCTGGCCTCTCCAGGAAGGGCGAAAAGCCTGGAGAGTTGCTAGCAGGGTAACCAGGGCTGGCCCACGTGCAGTGGAGGTTGGAAGCTCTGGGGCCAAGCGGGCAGCATGAACACTGCAGCCTCTAGTCTGAATTTTCAAGGAGCCGTCCGTGGTGATGGACCTGAACCACCACTGGCCTCACCATCACCTGGCAGGTCCAGAACCACGGACGGCCCCTTTACAGCTTGGCTGCTGCCAGGAGCAGACCCACTGCGGCGCTGATACCTGAAGCCAAGCACTGCTGGCGAGATGCACCAGAAGAGGGTCCTGTGCCCCTTAGTCTGAGGAGGTGCTCCAGGCTCCTTGGAGGTTCAGCCCAACTAAAACAATCCCTTCAAACCGGAGAGGTGGCAGGATAGTCCCCACAGTTGTGCTGCGCTGCAGAGACGCACCAATAACCTTCAAAGGACAGAAGGTCAGTATCACGGTGACAGTTCCTGCACTCTTCTCCAGCTACAAGGCTGGGAGGAAGGTTGGCGCTCATCAGACTAACTGGAGGGAGAAGAACATTCGCTATGGCAAGCATAATTGTGGACCCCTGCCAGTCGCTTTACTGGGAAAGAACTAACATGGCGGAGTTTGTGCAGAATTTGAGGGGCAGAGCTTAGCTGGGTCAGCGGGAGGGTGAAGCAACAGACGTGACCGACCTGTTCAAGAGATTCCCAATGTCCTAGAGAGAGCAGGAAAATAAAGCTAGGCATGTGGTTGCATATACTCAAAAGCACATCCATTGATAAAATGCCGCAATGCTTATAACTCCCATATGAACCTGCTTTTGCACCCGTGTGCATGTAGCCAAGGGCATTCAGGAGCCGTGGTGTGCAATCGCCCTCTCTGGCCAGTTTTCACAGCATAGCAAGAATGCTTTGATCAGTCCACACCTGGCACTTCCCGTTCTGCCAGCTTCCCTGGGCGCAGACCCTTCTGCTACTTCCGGCGGCCCTCACCAGCTTTAAGATCACAGTCCAACACATTCACGCTTCTGTGCATGATCTCCTGGGCTGATCGCTACTCAATTGAGTGGGCTTTATTTCTAGTATATGTAGGATTGCACCATAAATTTCAGAAATGTGGTCAACGTACATTTATATGCTACCTGTTATCCGTGCAGCACTTTATGGTGTTAAATGTTGAAATAGGTTTGTTGGATGAGGAAGTATTGCCCCATTTCAGTTTTTCCCAGCTCTCCCTGGCCAAGCCTTGCTAGGACCCCTTGACCTCACCCGCAGGAATGCACTTGGAGGCTGCTGGCTCTTCTGCGCTATCTCACAGATTAGAGTTCCCATAAAGCTGATCTCCCCAGAAAGTCTGCTGCCAAACGTCTCCTCCTCCTTCGCAAACGCTTCCAACTGGTCCAGCATGTTTTTCTTTTGCTGTTTCAGAAATGTTTCTACTTTCTCAAATTTGGCCACAATCTTCTGCTTCTCAAACTCCACCTTTTCCTTAAAGAGCAGACATAAGAGAAAATGAGAGAGTGTATACAAATGTACCAAAACAAAAACAAAATCCAGCCTGCACATTTCCCCAGCTATCCGATTGCAAGTGACAGATGTACAAATCAGCAAATCACATGCGTTCTATGGGTTTGTATTAAGTATATATTTTCCACTGATTTTAAAAAGAATGGGGAGCAAAGCTTTTCTTGGACATCACAGATTCCAGCCAATCAAAAATTACACATTGCTGGATTCTCTTCAGTTATTTTCCGTGAAACTCAAGCTCGGAGCTAAAGTGGTATGGCTGAAAAAATGAAGAGTACAAACTCTCGGCTCTTCTATTTGAGTGATCTCACTCTCAAATTATGCATGTTTGTAGACATCCACATAGAAATAAAGTTTATTTATTTTATTTTATTTTATTTATTAAAACATTTTTATGCCGCCCCATTCGCCGAAGCCTCAGGGCGGCTTACAACAATAAATTAAAACATCATAAATAACATTTTAAAATATATACATTAAAATAAAATACAAATATACAATATAAAATAAGCCACCCTGGCCAGATAAAATTCAATAATATTAACATTTAAAATGCTGCTTAAATAAAACAAAAGGCATCCTATTGAAGACATGCTCTCTAAACGACAGACTGCAGCATTTGATTTGTAGATGTTTGAAGAAAGATGCCAATGGCAGCAACTATTTATTATTTCCTATGGCTGCAAGACACCACGAGTGCCATGGAATCTGTATATATCCCTGCTGAGAAAACCCTGTCCAGCCCTGTAAAAACCCTATTCTGAAAGATACCCTTAAAAGTACTGCTGGAAATGGCGCGGGTTGCATTTAGCACTTTCCTGAGCACCTGGAGTCCTGTGGAAGGGCGGGTAAGGTGGAGGACACTGAGAATTGTCTGGTTCAGACAAAAACTTGGAGGGTCTTGCTGTGAAGGGAGCAATTCTACCTGACAGCCTCTTTCACAAGCACGGATTTCCCCATGCCTATGCTATGCTATGCTCTCACTTGCCAGCCTGCTCTTTGGGTACATGGCGCCGTTTGCCAGGTAAAAGCAAAGCAACGCAGTTGAAGCCCGGCTCTCTCGGTGCCTGTGGATGCCACCTGCTTTGAGAGCACAGACTCCCAGGGCACTGACCAGGCAAGCCTTCAAACCTTGGGCAGCTGGAGTTGCACATTTGCACAACTCCAAACTACTCCCCAAAGTAATGTGATGGTAACTCCAATGTGCCACCCGGACACTTTGGAGATCACAAAAAATTATCTCCAAAAATAAGTGGGGGAAAGGGGTTGTGAGTGGAAAGAGGAGATAAAGCAGTCACTAATTCCTCTGAGCTACTGGCTGGAAGACAGACAGGGCTGGATAGACCACAGTGTGTCTAACTGTCCCTCAGATGAAACATGGGTTGTTCCACAAACAATCCACACTGTAGAGCTTAACTGCAGGGGGGGTTGCTGTGTCATGTGAACTCAACCAATGAGTTTGCAAAGCCATTTCTACATAACCCACACATTTTCTTCACTTGGTTATCTAGGGCCTGCACAAGGGAACAATGGATTGCAACTGGTCAGATTTATTATAGTTTTCCTTGTCCAGCAGGAAAAAAGACATGTCTATAAAGCAGTTGACTGCAAGTGGCACAATAAATCCAGTGCCCTAACGGATACTCCATTTGTCCAACAGAAGAGTGAGCTAAATATAATCATACCTTGCCTCTGAAACACAAGATTGGACTAATACTTACCAGAAATGCCTTATACCTATTTTTTTCCTCAGTATGAAAATTGTAAGCCTCTCCTCTCTTTACTCTCCAAGCCTTTAACTGGGTCTCCAGTTCTTCCTAGAGGAAACAAGAATATGCATTGAAACAAGATGGGGAATTCTTGGCTCAGCAGTACTGCAAAAGAGAATGATCTTGGAGTAGTTGTTGGCTCATACTTTGCTTGCTGTCCACAATGTGATGTAGCTACTCAAAGGGCAAATGCTATTTTGGGATGCATTAATAGAAGTGTCCCTTCCAAATCACAAGAAGTACTAGTTCTCCTATATTCAACACTAGCCAGAGCTCATCTAGAATATTGCATTCAGTTCTGGGCACCAAAGGTTAAGAAAGATACATAAAAATTAGAAAGGGTTCAAAGGAGGCCAACAGAGATGATCCAAGATCTGGAAACAAAGCCCTGTGGGGAGAGACTGAGAGAACTGGGTATGTTTAGCCTTGAGAAGAGAAGACTGTACCTGAACAGTTGCCACAAACAGGAAGGACACGATTTCTTCTCAGTCATCTCAGAGTGCAGGACATGGAATAATGGGCTCATGTTACAGGAAACCAGATTCCAGCCAGATATCAGGAAGAACTTCCTGACTGTTAGAATAGTACAACAATGCAACCAATGACCTAGGGAGGTGGTGGGCTCTCCCACACTAGATGCATTCATGATGCAACTGGACAGCCATCTGAGAGGGATGGTTTAAATTGGTGTCCTGCACAAGCAGGGGGTTGGACTCAATGGCCTTTCTGGCCCCTTGGTATGTGAAGGGGTGCCACATAGCAGAAGGCCATGACTTGTTCTCCCCCACAGTGGAGGACAGGATTCAGTGGGGCAAAGCTCAAGGAACTAGGTTTCAGGCTGTATGTCAGAAAATACTTTCTGATGGTTAGGACCCCTAGGATATGGACTGGGCTTCCACAGGTGGTGGTGGAGGCTCCATCAGTGAGGGTGTTCAAGTAAAGACTGGACAATCACATGTTGGGTATTACATGAGTGAAGCCAGCTGGATGTAATAAGTGAAATTAAATGAGTCGTGCTAGATGGCCCGGAAGGCCCATGTTTCCAAGTAGAACACATCAACTTCTCTTCATCTTTGCAAAAGAGTTTCAGGGACTCCTGGTGCATTTGCAAATCTCTCCACCAACACTCTCTACCGCCTCTAATTTCATCCTTTTGGCTTATTTCTGCAACACACTCCAGTTCCTTGTTTGGCCTGAGCTTCCTTTTTGGGGATAGTTCTTTGCACCGAGGGCAAGAGAAATCAGTATCCCATTTCTCCCACAACTGAGTGATACGGGCCAGGTAGAAACTGTGTCCACAATCTATGGACACTGGCTCAGAAAGTATGCATGGCAGAAAGAACAAGAAAGTCCATCTCGAAGACTCTTTCCTGAGCTGTCTGTGGCCATGGTTGCAGAGCAAATCAAACAGGAACTCAGTGGCTCTGAAGCCTGTCAGTTGAATACAGTCTTGCCCGATGGTGCTGCCAACCACTCAGTCAGAACTAGACATCTCCACAAGTACACACACCACAGAACTTCCAACACTGGCAGAGGCAGCCTGGTCAGTCAAAGAATCATAGAATAGTAGAGTTGGAGAAGTCCATGAAGGCCATCAGGTCCAATCCCCTGCTGTTGCCAGTCACCAATTTGCACTATCCCACTCAGATGACAGTCCAATTTCACCTTGAATGTCTCCAGTGTGGGAGAGCCCCCCACCTCTCTAGGCAGCTGGTTCCACTATCGTATTGCACTGACAGTGAGGAAACCTTTCCTGATATCTAGCCTGAATCTGGGTTGCTGCAACTTGAATTGATTATTCCATGTCCTACACTCTGGGATCAGTGAGAAGAGATCTTGATCTTCCTCTTTGTGACAGCCTTTCAGTACTTATAGAGGGATCTCATGTCCCCCCTCAGTCTTCCCTTCTCAAGGCTGAACATGCCCAGTTCCCTCAGTCTCTTCTCACAGAGCAATGTTTCCAAACCCTGGATCATTTTTGTGGCCCTCCTCTGGGCTCTTTCCAATTTTTCTCCATTCTTCTTAAATCCTGGCGCCCAGAACTGGACACAGTACTTTAGATGAGGCCTGACCAGTGAAGAGTATAGAGGAACGATTACTTTTCGTAATAGTTGGATTTGGAAGGAATACTTCTATTAATGCATTCTAAAATAGCATGTGACCTTTTTTCAGCTGCATCCCGTTGTTGCTTCACGGTTAGTCTGTTCACAATAACTCCAAGTCCTCACGGTATTTTCTGTAACTTAGTTTGCAGATTTCCAGGGAGGGAAGGGTTGAAACCAGAGAGCTAGTTGGGAACTCTATGGTATGGGAGGCCCCATCCTGTTTTGCTCCCCCACTTCCTGCCATGCACTCCCTGCCTCTGGCAACCTCCTGGGCTGCGAGCGAACTGTCAGTTGCGATCTAACCAAAGCCGAGTACTTGGCTGCCATTCCAGCCTTAGCTGGCTCAGCGTGGGAACGCCCAGCTCTTATTTGTGCTTCTAGGCATTTACCTTCTTTTTGCCCAACGCTGGCAATCCGCCCCTGCATGTGTATTGTTAGAAGAGTGGAAAAAAGGATATTCTCTCCATAGGTCCTCTGGCTGGGGTACTCAGCATATCGAGCTGATCGGGTTAGCGGTCACAAACAGGAAATGAAGTAATGCGTTTCAAAGTCATGTGCTTCACCTGCCCTTGTTTGCTAGGGGCAGACGGTATTTCAGTGTCCGCTTTTAAGAAATGTATCATATTTTTAGCTTTTCAGAATATGTTATTTGATCATTCTTAAGGAGTCAGATCCTCCTCAAGGGCGCCTGAATTTTCATTTGCAGCACGAGTCATCCTATACAACTTCTCTTAAAGTCTTGGACACAAGATGGTGGCTTTAGTTGTGTGCAAATGGGAAATTATGTCATGCTGCTATCACACGTCCACGTGAGTGCAGTTGGATGGACACCAAGCTCTGTTGCAATGCACAGCCTGCCATTTTACACATTGCAGGCGTGGATATATACTTTGAATGGAAATTGCTTAACACTGTTTTTGAACATTAACTGAAATCGAATGGCTCTTTGATTAAATAGATGAACAGGTATGGCAGGGCAGATTATTGTAGCATGCCACAGAGCAGAGCTGTCAACTCCACATAATGGAAAGGAGCTTAGGAAATGTTATTTGTTGAATCTAAAGGTCCTTTCAGTTGCTTTTTCCCATGTGCTGAAGATGGAGAAAAGTCCTGCCTCAGGCTTCCTCCTCATCCCATGGTGTGCAATGCATAGCCCCCTTCGGATCACCCATGTATGAGAAATGACCAGAGAAATGACCTCTGCAAAGAGGTGCATGTACGTTAGCAACAGTATTTGCAAGCTGGCCACTACTGGAAAGAAGGCAGGTTTGTCTTGTCTCTAAACAGGCATGGATGGTAATTAGATATTAGAACATGGTTCTTCTCTACTGGTGAAGACATGTCCAGCCCAGCCTGAAGACTGCCAGCCTTCCATCTTTGATGCAATTCACATAAATGTTTCAGTCATGCACACTCGATGCCATATACATCCACATCCATTATTTATTTTTAACCATCACTGCCTCCTAATTTCATCCTCATAATTTTTAATGCAGATTAAAAAGATCAGATTGAAGGCAACATCACTGGAAAAGCTGTGTAATGCAAAGTATAAACACACACACACACACATATGGATATAAAATAAAATCTGAAAGACTAAAATTCCTGGAAAAATAGGAAGGCCTTTCCTGTCACTGGAAAGAGCACAGTCTAGGTGTCAAGTAGAGGTATTAAAGGGCAACTATTATAAATGCACCTCAAGAATAGAAAATAGAATAGAGTAGAAACACCACCACTCCGGCTGTCAACATGCCTTCACTTGTGTAAGTACAGATCCTTTATACTCAATAGTTGGCAGAAATTTCTAAAGCTTCCCACAGTGAAACCAAGAACAGCCCCTGTGAATGTTAAGAAGTGCTTTTTTTCTTGCTTGCTGGTGTCTTCAGTCATCATTGTGTTCACACTAACTCTGGGCAATAGATCACTCATTTCCAATTTACAGATCAGGCAAACCAAGACCACAGCATAAGTCTATGGCTGAAGTAGAATTTCATCCTAGTTTCCACCGCTGCGGCATCCTTGCAGAGCAGCTACAAGACAGTGACTTGAGCAAGTCCACATCCTGAGTCTTGGGCAATTGTGGGATGTTACCCCAAGTTCACACTCTTTATCCATTAAGCATGTTTGCGGGAGTGAAATAAACATTAAGGTTTTGATATAAAGATCCCTTTGTATGGGCGGAAATCAATTCTTTTCACACATGAGGCCAAGAGCCTCAGATTTGTAGCTGACTACCTATGATCTCCCCAAAACCAGTTTAGATTGTCCCCCAGAACCTTGAAGGCACAACCTGGGGTGGGATCAGCAATCTCCATCTAATAAGAGGCAGATTTCGGCATGCAAGCTTTTGTTCTCAAGTTGTGATACAGTCACCAGCAGACCTCAATGGAAATTACATTTACAGTCCCATTGCAATGAATTCTATAGTACTCTGTAAGTGTTGGGAAAATCAAAATCAATCCTTATAGAGGAAGGTTGCTTATAGTTGCCTTTGTGATATAAAATCAGACCTGCAATGTCCCTGCTCCTCTTGCCCAGGGGGAAAAAAAAAAAACAGCATTCCAAGCCAGGCTCCCTTTTGTTCCCTCAAGCATTATCAGTCATCTGTTCTTTTAAGAGACTGGGACTCTCCACTAACTATATTTAGCTGCAAAAAGTCATTCCTCTGCAGAACTGGCTCCCAAGGAAAGTTAACTGGGACCTTCCTTCTTCCAGCAGCAGCAAGCTGCCAGGCTGTGTTTTCTAGCAGTATGGCAATCACTCTCGTTTACAAGTGCAAAGTCAAACTCAGGATCTGCAATGATGCATGTACCTTACTGACTGTCAGGTCAATATCCTGTAATCATTGATATTTGCTGTACAATTATCTCATGTCCCCTCTGCACATCTCTCACATTGTTCTCTGTGTGAATATATTATGTGCCCATTGTTTTCTCATCATCTGCCCTGTTCCTGTGTACATGACTAGAAGACACTCTGTATAAAACACTCTGTATATGTGCTAGAAACGTGTAGTTGGTGGGCGTGAAGGTTTGTCTCTGCAGAGGGGTTTCCTGGGTGTTCTCACCAATAAAACTGCAGAGGTTCCTAACACAGGTTTCCCTGTGGGTGTACATTCTCACGGGCTGCTAATCCAGAGTGCCTTGACATAAGCAACTGACTGAACAAGCATCTGTCTACAGCGATGCTGCCAGGATATGGCTTTGCAGACTTACCTTGTACTGCCCGAGAGCTTCCTCGACAGGCACAAAAGTCTCCGTTGCTTGGCCTTTGGATGCCGCACATGCGAAACACATCAGCTTCTGTTCAACTTTGCAGAAGAGTTTCAAAGGCTCCTGGTGGATCTCGCACGCCTGTTCCCCACTGACGTTTTTGTCTAACTTCTTCTTTTTGGCTATTTCTACAATGATCCCCAGCTCCTTGTTCGGCCTGAACTTCGTCTTTGGGGATATTTCGCCACAGCGAGGGCAGGAGAAATCAGTCTCCCATCGCTCTGAGAACCGCTTGATGCAGCCCCGGCAGAAACTGTGTCTGCCGTCGAGGGACACCGGCTGGGTGAAATACGTGTGGCAGAGAGAGCAGGACTGCTCATCTTGGAGCCTGTGCGTGGAGGTGGCTGCAGCCATGGCTGTTTGCACGAAGCAGCTGAGCAAGTTTTGGTTTCCCGATTTCGGGCTGGCCAGACAGCAGAAGAGAGAGCTGGTCTTCCTAAAAGCTGGCAACTCTTTGTGGGGAGGGTGTAAAAGCCGAAATGGAACTCGGTGGGCTGGAATGGCCCCTTTATTTTAAAGCAATGACAAAGATCTTTGTTAGACACCTGAGAGTAGTGTTTTAGGGCAGAAAATTATCAATATTGTTTTATTAACTCTGCGATGCCCGGAACCAATCCGGGGCAGAACGGAGTGCTCCAGAATGGAAACTGCCAAGTGGGCCAAGGCAACCGAATTCTCCATGACAGGAATGCAGTCAGCTACAGAACCTCTACAGGGAGCCACATGTTGGTATGTTGTGGGTGACGCTCCCGACTCTGGAGAATGGCCCGGAAGGCAACTTTCGAGTGAGCCAAACCGAAGTCATCAGCCGCGATGCAGAGACTGAATAAGCCTCGCCACACACCTGTAGCATGTGCCTATGTGGGGGGGGGGGTGTTATGCTGGACCTCTCCCCCCTTCCCCCACAACAGTCCTGATGAAAACTAAGGACGTGTCTCCTTATTTAGGTGCGCTCTATTTATATCCTGCCTTTTTTCCTTTCAAGGTGGCTCACATCATTCTACTGCTCTCAACCTTATCCCCACATCAACCCTGGGAGGCAGGTTGGGCTGAGAGCCTGTGACTGGCCCAAAGGCACCCGGTTGGCTCCAGCTGAGCAGGGACCTGAACCCGGTCGCCCGAGTCCCATTCCTACATAACACCGGATCGGAACTATCCTCAGGTTTCCTGGCTCCCTGTAAGAACTACATAATCTTGAGGGTGCCTCTGCCCATTGGCCAAATGACCTAGGCACTCGACCACTCGGCCTAGCCACTTTAGTAACTGCTCATACATAACTTAATTCTATCCATCATTGTATTTTATCCATTGTATTGTATGTTTTTAAAATAATTTACGATCTCTATTTTAAATTTATATTATATTTTACATTTAAATTTATTGTTTCAGTGATTTTTATGCAATACTTCTGCATTCTGCTATGCCATATGAAATAGAATAACTATCCTTAGAGATTTTTTTTAGATGATATTCCAAGCTACATGTTTAATCAAGTCAGGCCTCAGAGGTCAGCTTTCAGAGATGGTTATAGTCCCTTCTGGAAGAACATCTCTGCCAAAGTGGTGCAGAGGGGCAGCTGCTCCACTCACAGCCAGTAGTACATTGGAGCCCTGTAATAAAGCAAAGTATTTTGGGAAGGGCTTGGGCTTGCATGCATACAGGTGTATCAACCCAGTAGACTTTTGGAGGCATGGCCATGGGCTTCCATGATGTGCATGCCAAAATACACCATTACCCCTCTGTCCAAGACCAGTTGACTACAGCTACAGCGCTCCATTTGCCTCCCATGCTGTTTTTAATGTAACACAAAAGGGGGCTCAGTGATATAAAGACCTGGGTTTGCTTGTTGCTGATCTCCAGGTAACACCTAGCTCTATTCCCATGGCAATCCCAGAGCGACTGTGGAAGTCCCGATTTACTTGGCTACCCAGGAGTTCAAGGGTGTGTCTCTGCCCCCCATTGTCATTTCTCCTGTGCATTTTAACTGTTTGAAATCTTTTAATGCTGATTTAAATTGATGGTATTTGTATTGTTTTTATGTATTACTGTAAATCTCCAAGCGCTTTGGCTATGCAGTGGTATAGAAATAACAGGACGGAAGTGCACCTAGTTACTACAGTACATTAAGCATCATCGTATTAATATAAATAATGCTTGATGCGTCATTTGAGTAGTTGAATGAAATCTTATTTCATCTTCACTGGCCTCCAGTTCCCCTGGCTCCCCCAAGCCCAAACACAGATGACCCAGTGGGAATCGGCCACAGGGGCAGCTTGGAGTTCACACAAGCCAAGAATAGGGTGCAAATATGGGGCAGCATCTGCCAGGTCCAGCTGTCTTCTCCAGTGCACAACTGCTGTTATGGTGGCTGAGAAGGAAAGCAGAGTAACCAGAAGATTGGCCGGCATCACCGCTATATGACCTGCTTTGACAGCTACACCCAAACTCCTACTATGCAGTCATTTGCGCCTGGGGGTGGCAGCCACATTAGATGGTCCACAAAGAAGTCATCCTTCCCGAGAGAGCACTGCAGTTCCAACAGAGGCGGGCTGTGTGTCTGGGAAGGTTACAGCTGAGACTAGCGAGGGCAGTGGAGAGAGATGACAGAAGCAGCAGGGCTGTTTACATTAAACCCACATCAATCAGGTCTTGAATTTTTCATGTAAAACTGTTTTCAGATGTGTCTCTGTGTTGTAGGGTTATACGTATTTGGTCTTTATAATGTATTTTTTAAAGTTTTAATCCTTGTAAACTGGTGAAAGACCCTCAGCTACTGGGTGGTACAGAAATGCCAAAAATGTTCCCCGGCTGCGTGTTGGAGTAGTGTGGTCTGGAAGTCCGAGTGCTGGGCAGGGGATCCAGGTTCTAGTCCCCACTTGGACCATGAAGTCCACTGGGTGACTTCTGACCAGTCAGACTCAGCCCAGCCTACCTCGCAGGGTTGTTGGTATAAGGATAAAAGGGTGGAACGTAAGCCACCTTGGGGTCCTCACAGGAAGGTGGGGAGGCAGGCTGTAAATGCTATGCAACAATAATATGAAAGGATAAAGTCTAGGGGTATTTGAGGGGGGTGGCAGGGCATAAAGCAGGCAGCAGCTCCAGCTCAGCAGAATGGGAGCCAGTCTGGAGGGGGGTGAGAGCACAGTCCTCCCATAGTTATACTTTGCACCTTGGCCAACTTCTCAGCCAATGTGATCACAAGCCTGCATCCAGACTGAACGAGAAAGGAGTACTTCCCTCAAAATAAACAACATTTATCCTGCTTTAAAGAAGGGCCCTGGAGTGGGCAAGGCTGCCAAAGGAAGGTAAGCAGAAAGGTGGGGAGGGGCCTGACCCTGGACTGCAACATGACAGCAGTGAGGAAGTGAGTTCCGCTCCCTGAAAAAGTACAGTAAAATCACACCAAAACGGAATGTGCTACGACCCCAAATTCACCGCCCCGCTCTACTCTTGGTTCTTGGGCAACCAGTGCAGAGTATGGAGTAAGACTGACTCAGATCAATACTAACTGTGGCATCAACTGGTGAACAGAGCAATAGGCCAATAACACCCATCTCTTGCCTACAAATCCTGGTGGACCCTACTTCAATCCAATGAAAACCATCAGCTCAACAGTTTCCATCACATATATACATTTTAAATCATTTTATGATACATTTCCTGCTACTAGAAAGGTTGGCTCCATTAAAACAAGGTTTATTTTTTGTAAACGGTGTGCAAAAATGGCACAGCACTCTTTGGATAGCGGCTCCCAGCCACTCTAAAAACATGCGATGCAACAGTGGTGACAAAGCTGCTCACTGAGGAAAAAGTCAGATACTACAAAAGCAGACAGCGAAATGTATTGAAGAAAACACTACACACGTTTCTGTGTTCTTACATAATGTAGTTGTCTCAATTATTGCCCTAGGATTTCAAACACAAGCTTTAAGACACTATGTGTATTTCACTTTTAGGAAAAATCAGAACCCCATTTATCATGGCAAAGATTTGCCCTTTTCATCTCCTTAGCTGCAGAAGAGAAAACGTGAGCTTCATCATCAGCCAAACCAGGAAAAAGATAAAAAGCTATCGTATCCGTAAGTTCTGAGGATGCTCAATTCAAAATAATCACCTCTGCGCTAGGAATGACCACAGGCTGTTATGGTATTCAAAACATCTTTTGCCATGAAGTGTAACTGTGAAGCCATTTCTTGCTGTAGAACATAAGCTGGTAGGTTTTAATACTAAAATGCATGCAGGCATTTTTTTTTAAAATGAAATCATAAAGTTAAATCGGAACAGACTGAAAATATAGGTAAAATTTTAATAGCTAAAAGTTTTCAAATTGAACAAGTCTGAGCCTACTACTAGAAAGGAGTCATGACAATCCCTTATATACAGGAGGATGTCCTAAGAGAGATGCTGTTTGCCAAGGCCTGCTTATCTACTCTTCCCAGGTCTTGTGCTATACCCTAGGGCAACATCTTGGGACCTTAGCACTAAGATCTCCTTATACCCTCCAACACATGAGAACTTAAAAAGAAAAAACTTCCCAATTCCTTGCTTCCAAATAGCTCAACTCTCTGCTCCATTTCAGTGGGCTTGAGATGTATCTCTTTTTTCCCACTGGGCCCATGGCTAAGAAGTTAAAATCATGGACTCAGGACATCCATTTCATGAACCCCAGTTGGGTACTTCACCCCCATGCGTCTCAGGAACACTGACTGAGCTGGGAACCCTACAACCCACAGCAAGGGGTGGGTTCGCGCTCCATTGAAAGAGGCTGGTGGGAAGGTGAAGATGGGGCCGTCTGTGTCTGCATCAGTAAAGGTCACACACTCCCCCACATAGTCTAGGGACACTCGGATCCTCCTTGGGTGCTGGCTGAGGGACAAGGCTGTCACAGGGGACGTGAGAGCCCAGTGTTGGCCCTTCCAGAGCCCCACAGCCCAGATCCCCTCCTCTGGGCTGAAGTCCATCATCCCTTTTTTCTTTGCAGGATCTCGGGTGACCCCCACTGCCCAGAATTCCCCATCACCCACTTCCAATTCCCAGAAGTATCTCCCAGAGGTAAATCCATCACAGCCCAGAACCAAAGCCCTGGAATCCAAATTTTTTGGCACATCAGGGACGTATTCCAGGGCAGGCAGCCTGTGCCGGGGCTCGTCATATCCCATGTTTCTTTGGTCCAGAGACAGAAGAGCACTTGGTACATCAAGAGCCATATTCACTGCAAGAAGAAAAACGGAGAAAAACAGGGTTGTTTCCATACACCTCAGCAACTTCATTCCCCTTTCTTGCCTCTCCTCTCCACACATCTGAGCTTTGTTACATCTGATGCAAATCACTGGCTACAATTTTGGCAACAGTTCTTCAGGCATCCAGCCACAGCACCCACCGGATGACACGCTGAATACGCAGGCCACAGTAAGTACACGCTGTGGCTTGTCCTATCATGCACACCTGGGCCGTATAGATTATGTGAAGGATAACCCAAGAACGACCCATGTCTTCCGTATTAAAAATGGTAGCCAGAGGCACTGCAAAGTAAATTAACCCTGAGAAGCTTAGCGTAGTCACGTGCAAACTGACCCAAGAACACGTGATAGTTTCACTTCAGGAGTGGACAACTTGCAGTCCTCCACCCGTCGTTGGACTGCAACTGGTATCATCTCTTGCCAGGGGTTATGGCTGAAGATTGCAAACTGCAGATCAGCGACAAGTGGAGTAGCACAAGTCGCCACCCTTGAGCCGAAACAGTCTGAGACCTTTGGGGAACTGCCGCACATCCAAGCCGACTCTGCCAGGGCCCCTCACCAGCTCCTCCAGGGCCTGCCCACCAGCTGTGTCTTGCCTGGAGCCACCAGCTCCACGCCTCTATCTATCTATCTATCTATCTATCTATCTATCTATCTATCTATCTATATCTATCTATCTATCTATCTATCTATATCCTGCCTTTTTCCTACAAAGGGCTCAAGGCAGCTTGCATCTCCTCCTCCATCTTATCCTCACAACAACAACCCTGTGAGGCAGGTTGGGCTGGGAGTCTGCCACTGGCCCAAAGACACCCAGGTGGCTCCATGGCTGAGCGGGGACTGGAACCCAGATCCTCTGAGTCCCGGTCCCAGGCTCTTGACCACTGCACCACACTGGCTCTCCCTTGGCCTTGGCTGTGCCACATGAGCTCTACTAGCCCAACTCTTCATAAGGCGACTTCATATGTTTGAAAAGAAAGGGACCAGCTATCAAGCTCCAACTACACTGCCATCCTACACACCAGCCAAGCAATCAATATGGCCCGTGAGCAGAGTGAAGTTGTACTGCAGACCAAATACCTCGATTTGGCCTGGGAACACCAAGCCACGCACAACAAGCCGGCTTGTTACATACGACATTTCATTTCTCAGTATGCATATGCTGAACAGCTGCAATCTGATGTGAGAAGCGCAAGTGTTGTCTAACCCACCTTAGCAGGCTGTTGTGAGCACAAAATGGAAGAGGATCATGTAAACCACCTTAGATTCCTTGCAAGATTCCTTGCAAGAATCAAGGTGGGCTATAAACAAATAAATGAGCAAAATATATGAAACTCAAGACATAAAGGGAAATTTGGGCAGGGTTTTTAATAGTTTAGACAAGGAGTTTCTATATCTTGCAGATCTCTTTTAATGCTGTTCCACCTCCGAGGGTTTAGTAATAACTAGTCCTTTGCTGAAAAGCTCTACAACAGGATTTCAGGTTGAGGTTTATAAAATTTGTAAGTAATCTGCACTATTTTGGCTTAGGATGCTTCCCAACAGACAGCTCCTAACACCGGCAATCAAGAGATAATGTCCTGCTATTCCATTTCCCTCCTTAATGGATATTTTTCAGGTGAGAGAGGATACCAAAGAAGCAATGGGAAAATGAGACACAAGTGAAATACTATGACATTTGGATCCCTTATGAAATCTCCAGTGATGCACAGTGAGTGTACAATAAAATGCTTGTCTGGAAACACCCCCAAGTCATATCCAAACTGGGATAAAAGCAAGCAATCGCTTTAGATACTAGTACATTCAAGGTTCCCCCGCACCTCACCAAATCCTGGCGACAGACCCATCTGGATGTCTGAAGCAGCTTTGATTGGAAGCTAAGCAAGAACAGAATGAAGAGGTACTTAAAAACTCAGAAATGCTAAGAAACTCAGAAACCCACCTTTATCATTCAGTGTTTTCACAGTCTCTCCTTTGTCCACAGCATATCTAATATTATCTAGAGAAAGGAAAGAAATTCAAGTTGTTACATTTTCTTAAGCCCTTTAATACATTTAGAGCACAATTGTGCACCGTTAGATGGCAAGGTGGCCCTGCAACGCCGGCATGGAGTAAGCTGGGAGTTGTAACAGCAAATTATGAGCTAAAAAAGCCCACATGCCAACTGCATCACTGCAGCTCAAAGAACCCAAAAAAAGTCCTAAGCCGACACTCTCTGCTCTCCCGAACAATTTAATCACTACCACCTGACCAGCCTCAGTCAAATTTCTGCTGGTAGAAGAGCCCTGAAAGGCTGCGATTGTGCATGTGCCCTGTTTAGGGGTTTCCCATGGGCATCTGGCTGGCCATTGGAGATAAAGGATGATGGAGCAGATAAGCCTTTGACCTGATCCAGTATGATTCCGCCAAGATACATATCACTTCCGCTGCTAAATCAAGTTGCCCAAGTCTAGAGAGGGCTTTCGCAGACACTAAAAACACTGGGGGAAACATAGGTTGTCTGCATTTAGATTTTTTTTTTATTTAAAACTTTTCTATACCGTCCCATCACAGACATCTCTGGATGGTTTACAACAATATTGATAAAATAGAATAAAAATAAAAATAAGAGTCAAAAATATCACAACATCCAGTATTTGGTGTAAAACCACAAATCAAAACAATGTAACAATTAAAATATTGGGAGTATAAAAAGGTTTTCACCTGGCACCGAAAGGAAAGAAGTGTTGGCGCCAGGCAAACCTCTCTGGGGAGCATATTCCACAGTCGGGGTGCCTCCGCAGAGAAGGCCTTCCTCCGGGTGGTCACCCTCCTGATCCCTTTCAAGGACAGCTCCCGGAGGAGGGCCTCTGCCTCAGATCTCAAGGAGCAAGAGGGCTCATAGAGGAGAAGCCGCTCCTTCAGGTATCCAGGACCCAAGCCATTTAGTGCTTTATAGGTCATCACCAGCACCTTAAATTGGGCCCAGACTTCAATTGGTAACCAGTGTAAATAGGCTTTGGATTGTATGAATTCAAAAAGCCCTTGCAAGATAAGTATTTCCATTTTTCATATTCTAAATTCATATGCCAAAGGCAAGCTGATGATTCTCAGTAGCTGTCACACTACAATACTTAGTATTCATATGATGGTTGAGCCAGAGGGCTGAGCTCTCCTCCCAGTAGTAATCCTTATACAAACCCTACAAAATGTTGTTGCATATTATTTCTATTACCTACCTTAAAAAGAGTGGGGGGTAGGCATGAAGGCTGAAAGAGCTGCTTGCTTAAGAGCCATGCAATGAATTCACAACGTTCATCTCACAGCACGTGCCCTCAACCAGATCTTTCTGAAATCCCCTTTCTTTGTGTGCCTCACTACAAGCCAGCACTAAAGGGCTTCTAGAGGGCTTCTCTTACCTGTGCTGCCATTCTGTGAATAAGGTCAATTTTTTACAAATGAGGCAACAGTAAATAATTAGTAGCACAGGAGAAATGCTTACGGCACTAACCAGCCAATTTGGCCTAGAAATTAGAATATATTAACCTCCCCACCCATGCCTTCCTTCATTGCTTTTCTGTACCTTGGAATCTGTTTAGCGTTTCCTTCAAAGCTGCTCCTTTCCGAGAGATGTCTTCCAGTCTCTTCTCCAGCTTGGAACACGCTTCATCAGATGACGGAAACTGCCCTGGTAGACACCTGCATTTTTAGAGAAAGACTCCTATTTAAAAAAGCTCAGTTACTTTAGTGGCTCGGAATATTGCTATGCTGCTTCCAAGGAGTGAAGTGGACAAAGTATTAGGTCCTACTGCATCACCTGTGTTCATAAGGAGCAGCATTTCAGAGAGTTCTAGATATTGTTCTGGTCCTAAAACTTGTAAAGCCCAGCTCAAATTGGCAATGAGGCAAATACCTGAAGTGGCAGAACTTGTTTGCCATTAATGACAGCAGAGCAAGATGCAGGCAAACTTCACAGCCCCTCAAGAAGTTCTCCTAAACAAGCACCGGCACAACTCCCATTTGCTTTCACGATGCTTGCACTGGAGAACTCATGGTGGATTAAGCTCCATGTTAATCGGAAAGTTAACCAGGATCTCCATGTTGAACTCCTACTTTCAGAAACAACATGCTTTGGGGCTGGCCCTGACCGCACAAGCGCCATTCTCCATGACAACCCACCAAGTGATGTGGCTTTTGGCCCGCAAGCCTTGCTCCTGCTTCAGCATTTGTGCCATGCATGTCGCTTGAAAGAAAGGGAGTAGGTGCACCACTTTGGGTTGCGGCTACTCCCACAGTGGGATGAGCTGGCTCTCGAGCACCCTGGGGGCAGAGGAAGCTCAAGGCTGCCTTGGGCCTGTGTTCTGCAGCAGTGGCTTGGCCATGGGAGAGCGACAAGTATGCCACTCTGCTTGACCCGATGATGTGAGGAGGGTGAGGACTGGGTAACCATTTGGGGCAGCTGGAAGCAGCGGATTGGGGGGGGGGTGGAGGAGAAGAAACCACTACATACCTGCTCATGTTTTTTTTAATGTCCTAGAGGAGAAAAAAAGAAAGAAAAAGGAGCTGAGTGCCACAGTGCTTTGCACCAGGGACGTGTCACAGGCTAAGGGGGAGCATGCCTCTGCACCCCCGACTCAGGCTGCGGAGGACTCCAAGAGCGCTATCAAAGGCATGAGGGTGGAAGCTTTGGTCTAGCCTCTGGTGCTTACCAGGCAGGGATAAACTAGCCTGCCCCCCCGTCACCCTCAGGCTCTTACCTGTGATCCCAGAGGTGGAACATCTGGTGTTTGCTCCAAGACAAGAGGTGGGGGATGCTCCGGTTACACATGGGAGCCTTCAGGCCACGTTGCTCTCCCTGGCGCTGCAACTGTTTCTCTGAGGAGAAGGGCTGCTCTAGCGTTTTTAGCAGCCTTCTCCTCCCCGAACTGGCCTCCCACCCTTGCTGCCGGTGAGCAGGCTGGCTTTTCGCCCCCTCCAGGGCCTGCTCACCAGCTGTGTCTTGCCTGGAGCCACCAGCTCCACCCCTTGGCTGTGCCGCCCACGTGAGCTCTAAAGCGTGCTGTTTGGCGGGCACACTGCTTCACTGCCAAAGGGAGAGCGCACCTTCCGTCAGCCCGAGAGAGGCAACCACACCTTGCTCCCAAGAGCCCAGGCCCAGAAGGAGAGACCCCCCCCCTCTCCAGGGGGTCTCCCACAATTCCCCATCCCAGGATCACTGCATCTCTTCACCATCACCCGTAGTGCCTCAGAGAGACTCTCTGCACGTCACAGGTTACCTAAAAATCTTGTCCTTGTTGCTTGTGATCAGAGAGCTGGTTGCAAAATAATTAAAAAATGGTTCTGTGCCAAGAGATCAAGTGCGCAGGAGGTGCTGCTCGGTTTTAAAAAACAAACCAGCCTCCCATCCTTGGAATAGCTATAATTGATGTTCACCACGGAGCAGACCACAGGAAGACCCTAAGGAGATCCCAGAAAATGCAGGCTTTTTTGCAGGCACACACACCCCACAATGCCATTTGTTTTCCTCCAAAAAAAGAGAAAAAAAATCCCACTTGCTCACTACAGACACAAGATACTTCCTCCCCGCCATTATTATGTTTTACAGCATGCAGTCATCAGCTTTATTCCAAAGGCTGAACATTTAAGAACGATCTCTTATACAGTCCCATAAGGACAGCAGCAACCCATGTACCCAAACACCCTTAAAGAGAGAACCCATATTAACATGACTGTACGTACTAGAGGTCTGCATGGCAGCCATACCCGATGTGTCCCGACATGAACCTGAAGGAATGGGGTCATCCAGGCCAGCTTCGCAACAGCCTTCAGGTCAGGCTGAAGGACCTGGAAGTACATCTGCCAACAGCAGAGTGCTATGGTGTCATAGCATTCCACAATGAGAGGAGTGACAGAGCTCCAACTGTCCCTTGCTAAAGTCCAAGGGCAGGCCACAAGAGGACAAGCTGAACTGAAGAGGCCCCCGCCACCTTCACAAGGGATGTCAGTCTGAGGGCATTCCAAAATGGCAAGGAATGCGCTAGACAACGGAGCCCTCCCCCTCCAGTCCCCAGTCAAATTCAGCCGCATCATCTGCTGAGGCCAATGACGGCACCCGGGCGCACTGGATAGCTGATGGGGGTCCAACACAAGAGAGCAGTCCTGATGCCAGTCTACAGCCCGTGCCCCACTGATGTTCATGCCCCACCAGCATCCTGCGCACAAATAAAAAGATCCCTTTGCCAATTGCAGCAGGGAGAAGGTCTAAGCTCAGTCTTGTCCAATTGTGGTTTTGGCCAGGAAGTCACAAGCCCCATTGCCAGGCTTAACTTTCAGGCCAGAGAGAGAGAGAGAGAAAGCGAGAGAGAGAGAGAGATCTTTTGATAGCAATGCCTCACCTGCAAAAATTCGCTTGCTGGCTGCCTACATTTCACCTCCATCTCGGCAATCACTCTACCAACACGGCAAAGCTCTTCTGTGATATGGGTGATCAATTCATTCTTTTGTTTCGCTAGCTGTTTATCAAGTTCTTCCAGCTGGGTTAGCAGGCGCTGCTCCTGATCTTTCAGAAATTGGTGCAAGCGCTCAAATTCAGATAAAATCTCCTTCCTCTCAGCTTGGACCTTCTCCTGTAATGGCCACAGGCAAGATAAGAAACGAGAGTCTGGGAGTTCTTTCATGGGTACACAAAACAGAATCAAAAGAGACTTGATTTCACACTTCAGACTTTGATTGTAAGCCGCCCCGAGGCTCATGCAATGGGGTGGCATATAAGTTGTTTAATAAAGTGCCATTACAGTGCTGAGAACAGTAACCAACACCAGCTGTTTGTATTAAGAAACTACACAAGGGACAGTGCAGACACGGATGATATGGGATCAAGGCAGAATCTGACAAAAAGGCAGAATCAAAACAGGCAAGGATGGAGTGGAAGAGGTTCCCTAGTCCCAACAGGAGTCTGCATCACCTCCTTCCCCTTCAACACATTCCACATGGATCTGGAAGCACTGGGAAACAAGCTCTACTGTTGTCTAGCGCCTAAAACTCACGATTCCTTAATCCTTGGACTTGGAAGTATAGCCAGTTTGGCTAGAGGATAAGACTGTAGTAGGGTGTGACAGCAGAAACAAGGACCTGCTCAGCACTCCATGAAGAGCTGTTATCCATGACAAATGTCCCACTTGCCCAACATATGGGATCCAGCTGTGGGATAAAATCATAGTATTTGTTTCCACTGCCAACTAGTTGTCCCACAGCAAGCCACTAAGAGTCACAGAAATATGTTTGTGCTTTTATGAAAACACAACCAGGTACAAAGAGCCTTTTTTACAGTATGTTACAGATTCTATGTTCAGAATCCTCAAAAACAGAAGTAACTTTTCCTCCTACTCATATACAGGAAACTGGTTGTTATGGTTGAGCCTGGTCACATCAACAGCTACAGATCCTCAATATAGCATTTTATTACACTGTAGGAGACAGTGGAAAGGCTTATAGCCTTTAGGGAAATGTTTCAGAAATCACCCAAAAACAAATACTAGGCAGAAAGCCTAAGCCCTGTGCATCTTGACACGACAGCTGAAGCCACCTACTGTATATTCCTGGATTTTCATCTCTCCAATCAGCTTCTGACTCCACAACGTGTTCTTCTCTTGTTTTAGAATCTCTAGTTGAGTTTGAACCCGCTCCTGTGCAAATAAAAACAGTTCAGATAGGAGGGAGAGGACCAGAGGCCTTAAGGACTTGGGAATCTTTGCAACGATGTGCAAATATGGCTCAGGCAAGCATTTTCTCCACAACTCAGCTCAAGGAGCATTACAAATAAACAAAAAAGAAGTATGCCAAACTTCATCCTAAGCAAGAGCAAGTAGTTGGATTTCTTTAACAGTCCTGTGAGGCAGTGTGTACCCTGCAGCCATGAAAAAATAGCAAATTCCACATGCTGAATGTATATATTTGCTTCCACAATGCAGAACACTGAAGCCCTACTCCCCTGCTGCACTGCTAGGAGTCCAGTCCAACCCTTCTTTAGCTTCCATAATGGGCTGCGTATGCTCATATTTATTTCTTCAAATGTAAAGCTAAACATTTGCTTCTTAAAAGTAACTCACAAGCATCAAGATATTAATTCTGCAAGTATCAGATTCTACGTTTATATGCTGCAAGTCAATGGATACAAGAAATGCATACAGCTTTGGCTAGAGGTCATCAAGATGCCAGCACTGTGCATCTTCTGTGAAACTGAACTTTTCAGCTTACTACTGGTGAAACTGGAGACAAGCGTCTTGTTCTAGAAAAGAACTAATGGATTCAAGCTTGGTATCTAGATCTGTATAATTTTGTCTACATCCCACCTTCTCCCCATAGTGCAACATGATGTACACAATACCTCATTCCCGTGTTATCCTGAAAGATCTGGGTGGCTTAAGTCAGAATAAGGGAAACTCTCCCAAGTCATCCAGTAACCTACATAGCCAAGTGGGAAAAATCTACAGAGACTTAGCCCAACATTCTAACCACACATGGCTCTTTTAAGGCACGCAACACACTGAGCAAGTACAAGAGAGGGGGCCATCCTAGCACTGTCCTCACACCTCTGGCAAGGAGACATCAAGCTTCAACAAGACAGGATTTGGAGAAAGGCTTTACTCCAGCCCTCCCCCAGTTATAACTATGGGGGTTGCTGCTGTTTTTCATTGTTGTTTAAATAAAATTGTATCATTGTAAGCCATTCACAGAAAACTTGTGCCCTGAAGTTTTAAATAAACAATCATGTCCCCAAGAAGCCAACATTAAAGAAATCTAGCTCGCTTTTCTTCAGCTAAGTCTGGACAAGTCTCAGAGCTGGCAGGCTTGCCTTCTGGATATACAACAGCACAAAATATTTTACTGAAATGCAGCAAAAAGGAGAAACTGGCTGTTGATTTGTGCTAAAGTTCTTCTTCAGGCTGACATGGCTTTCAGCAACTAACTATATGAATTCTACAAAGCCAACCCCCTCACCCAACCCCAAATAAATTAATAAATTGTCATAGATATTAGGCTGTGCCTTTGTTGTTAGACTGTCCTGAGACTTTTATGTATAGGATGGCGTATAAAAGTTTTAAATAAATAAATATGTGGCTAGAGTATCTTTTCTAAATCCAATAAGAGCAATCTAACAGAATAATATATTTTTCACTAGAAAAGCCAGCAAAACAATATGCAAAGATCAATCAGGACATTCAAGCATGAATGCATATGACCAACCTAGTAACGTGTACTTTGGATTTTCTGAGAAGTTCTTTTCTGGTAGATTTTATTTTATCATTTGTATATGATATATCCAAGCTTTAAAGGCTAGATACAGGGAGCACTATACTGGGAGAGGAAAGTAATTCTCAGAAACTTCCATGGTTGGTAAGTGCCTCTTTTAAACTAGAAGAAAGTGATACTTTGGGGAATATAAAAGAAACAGGCTGAAGAGGTTCTTTCCCAATAGTCTCCAATCATCTATAGATTAATGTACTAAAATCCTCTTGACGTTTCCTGTGAGCTTGTTAAGCAACTCTGCTCTCAAAAAGACATTTTTTTTCAGCTGGTATGGTATTTTATAGTTACCACACATTAGGTATAAACCTAACCTCTAGAAAAGCCCTCTAGGTGCTTCTCTATTCTACAGTGCCCCTTTTTATTCTGTGTGTGTGTGTGTGTGTGTGTGTGTGTGTGTGGGCGGGCAGGGGGGGGGAGGAATACTGCCAGTTTAACTCTGAAAACTAACTGTCCACTAAAATAAGAGCTCAATTCCACCCAGCAATACAAGGAGTTCTATTCTCTTAATACTATATCATACACACAACCTCTGGTACTCAAGGGCAAGGAGAGAATGAACAGGGTGGCACAAAATAGACTATTTGCAATGTTTTTAAAGGCTTGATGCGTTTGCGCCTTCTTACCCTGTAGTCCCGGGCTGCCCTCTCCACGTGGAAGATGGTGTGAGCACGGTGCTCCTGGGATCGATCGCACTGCGCACATATCGGAGTTTGGTCCTCCTCGCAGAAAAACTGAAGCACTTCCCGGTGTACCTCACACAGCCTCCCTCCGCTCGCGTCTCCCCCTCCTCCTGTTGTCACGGGCGCCCGTTTCGGGGGAGCCGCTGCTGCCGCCGCCGGGGGGGCCTCTCCTGCCGCTGCTGCGGCCGCGGGAGCCGCTGTTGTGTGCAGGGGAAACTCTGCTGCCAAGGGGCCCGCTGTTGTCGCTGCTGCCGCTGGGGGGGCCACTACTGAAATCGAGGGGCCCGCTGCTGCCGCTGGGGGGCGCGCTGCTGAGATCGAGGGGCCCGCTGCTGAGATCGAGGGGCGCGCTGCTGCCGCTGGGGGGCCCGCCGCTGAGATCGAGGGGCCCGCTGCTGAGATCGAGGGGCGCGCTGCTGCCGCTGGGGGGCCCGCCGCTGAGATCGAGGGGCCCGCTGCTGAGATCGAGGGGCGCGCTGCTGC